TCAAAAGAATAGGTGACACATGTCATTCTCTCATGACTTGAGATTAGAAAAACCACCAAAGAAAGAAAAAAACTGAAATTGGTCATCCTTATATTACATTTTTTTTTAATTAACTTACATTAAATTTAGCTACTAAATAGTAGGAATTAATTGTTAAAATTATTAAAAACATTTTTTTGTTTCTTTTCAGTAAATAAATAAAAAGACAAATATCAAAAGAATAGGTGACACATGACATCCTCTCATGATTTGGGTTTAGAAAAAACTTAAAATATTAAATAAGACTAGTGAAAATCCATGCGTGAACAACTATTTAGATGATTTTTAAAACTATTTTTATATTATTATATATATACTAACATTGATATACTTAAATGATGTTTAAGATTTATGCTCACAATTTCTATTTATACAAATTCAAATATTATTTTTAAATATTTAATATGAAAGTGAACCATATGATGATATATATAAATATTTTTATTTGAATACTATATTTTCAATTTTGCTCTAGAATTCAGCGTATTCTTTTAGAATTTTTTCGTTATACTCCGTGTCCACTGTTGTAAAAAAAAATGTTGAGTCCACACGTGATCGAAAAGAGAAAACTTAAAAAGTGAAATATGCAATATGTAGATAAACACATGTAAAAAATTAGTACACTTTAAATGCTTTTTAAATTGATTGATCACATATTTGGTTTACATAATTTGATTCTTATATTATCTAAAGTTATATAGCTTCTACAAACAAAATTTTTTTTTAAAATATATATTTTTTTTAAATATGATAGTTTTCGGAAATTCTAATTAAGAAAAGTTTAAAGAATTTGAAAAGAGATATTGAAACAAAAATATTATCTATTAAAATATGGTTTTACATATTTTTAATTAATTTATGAAGATAATTTGATGTTAATTAAATGTTTACTTTAAGTTAATATATTGATATCACATTTTTAATTTAAAGAATCAATGCAAAAAATCTAAAATCTAGAGAGACAATTGTCAAAATTAAGTAAAAATAAGGTACTAAAAATGAAAAATTGTTAACACTAAAAGTGACATGTGGTACCTTCTCAAAGCTTCACTTAGAGGAAATCTTAAAATATTATATTAGATTTTAGGTTTATACTAAAATTACTCCTCCTTATTACAAGTGTCGTTTTTTTATATTTTTGTACTTATATTAAAAAAGTTAAGATTATGTTCTACCATTTATAAGTTTATTTTCTCATTTAGTTATGCATTAAAATGAATAGTGATACTTTTATGAAACAAAAATAAGGTTAGAACTTATTATGAAATGGAAATAGTAGTAAACGTGTATATATATATACATCTGATAAAAAAAAAATTTGTGCTAATTGATAAAATTTGATAAACTAATAAATTTCTTTAGTCTTGAATTAATTTTACTAACAAATTAATATTTTCATAATTTAATGTTTTATAAATTAATAGAATATCATAGTTTTTATATTATTAACTTACATACATTTTACTCTATATTTAGGCACTTCAATTTTCTCTCAGTTATACTTTTACCTTTATCTATCAAAACTTTTTTCTCAAAAAAAATAAAAATTCCAGTATTAATTACAAATAAATATTTATATACTATAGGGTGTGATTGGTGAATTTATAGAGGAAAAATATTTCTTTCAATTTCTTCTGGGGCCATAAGAAATAAGTCCATATTTTTTTATTAGCCAAACAATTTTTTTATTCCGTGGAAGAAAACTGTTCACCTTTAAATTGTAAAAGAATTTTTTTTTCTAACTTTCTGCATGGTAATAAAAGTTAATGG